TAAAATATCAGACTACGACGGCCTCAAATTAGCGCACACATCCGTACCTTGTCAAAGGAATACCCTGTTGGTCGTTCTGTTTACTGCCAAATACAGCTTGAATAAAATCCTAGAAGTCGTCGATCATCAGTTCAATCATAACCGATGATCAAATATATCTGATACGGACAATGAGGGAGGATAATAGCCCCTGGAACGTCTTCGGTACACCTCGAGATTTGATCGAGGCAGCATTGGCAAGAAGTATAAGTATAACACCGCCAACGAGCTGTGCAGCTAAAGTGTAGATGTCAAACATGATTGAAAGTGTAGTGTTGAAGATTGGAGTACAGGAAGCTGGAGTGCTGAAAGCTGAAGAACTGAGGATTGTAGTGAGGAATGTCTGGCAATGTTGGTAGAGTTTTTATAGGCCTCAAAATCCAACTCTGAGGATGCTGATTTGTTGTCCAACTGAGAAGCATCATCACAACCCAAGGTCAAATGATTGCCTTGTGAACCAGACTGTGGGCGCGGCGTGACTAGGCTTCGGATGACGACACGTGGATGATTCAATAGGTGTACTTTCCATACTTACGATGTTAGAGCATCATCGATGACGCCGGAACAGTGAGAATATTGACGCAGTGATAGTCACGGGAGATCTCACTGTGTACCAGTTCTGTAACTTGGGTAAAGTTTTGTCTGATTAGCTATGCTTAAAACCTGTGAGAAAGATCATCATGTACATGTATGTTCAAGTTGAGCACGTACGCAGTTCAATAACAGCTGGCGTCCGAGATTGTGACTTTTCGGTAACTTACTTCGTCCCAGTAGTTCGTACATGGTTTCGCCATTTGGAGATCGAGAAAGCCAAGAAGAGTTGCTGACCACATGCGCCACGATGTTAATCACCCGAAACGAGACGGACTGCATCCGGGGCCGAACCCCCGTTCACGACATATCATCGAAATCCTCCGAAACAAGCCAATACTGGTCAACTACAAACCAGAAATATGCTTAATTATTAATTCCCTGAGAACACAGCTCCTTTTGAAGCGGATTCAACTATGCAAGTTGACTCACCGGATGCAGTGATTAGACATTGGTCCGCTCATGAGTCAATCCGAGGAGAACAACTTGAAAATATGGAACGGTGCCTTAGCGGAGGTAATATCAGTGAGTGCAGGCCTGGGTTCATTCCGGACTTTGGTATCTTTACCATCACAACTATTTTTTCAAGACGCATTGTCAAATGGTCAACAGTACCTGCAATATGAGTGTGCGGAAATATCAATGACAACCGCAGCAATTTTTTTTGAAACACCAGTTCACCTCGGATTGTCGACAAGATCATTCGAAATTCCAGGCCCCCACATTCGTGGCAGCACCCGCTACCTCGAGCCCGAATTCAATACAGTTTGCACATGTCGGCCGTCTTCCAAAAGAGCCCCATATGACAAAGTGCAAGCCTAATTTTCGGCATGATATGGAGGAAGCTTGAGCTTGAGAACCGGGTGTTGTCTCCATTGGGCGTGGTAAACCATTATAAAGCATCTAAGTACTTGGGTAACGCCAAAAGGTATGATAATACGACCATTGGCTGATTTTCACATACGCTTCCTTCTGATAATTACGACATACTGTCGTGCTCTGATTCTACAATCTCCGTATGCATTTCTTGAAAGTTTTCCTTAACTTATTGTATCGCTAGTTGCCACTTACGGATGATGCATCGACGATGTCAGTTGCGCCGCGCGGCTACCTAGAGTAATCCTGTCGCGTGGACGTGATCACAGGACCAGAAGAGGGCTCTGGCAAGACAGCAGTTCGCCTACGACGACGCTGCAAGGACAGGGCTGTTCGCTGTGGCCATATGGGAGTAATACGGCCACGTAATATGGCCGCCGTTTTAGAAAAGAAAAGTACGAATGTGCTAGCATAGGTATCGCCATTCCTCAAAAGCAATTGGCTGTGTACTTATGAGACCAAGAACAGATAAAATAGTTACCGTGACACATCACCGAAGAGATGATCCGTATTTACAACGCACATGAATATAAAACGTCGTCTGAACGTGCAGTGGAGCTCGAGGATGAAAAGAAGCGTGAGACACGGAAATAAAATCCGGAAACACCGATCACCAAAGTAAACCTCGGTCAGATTCAACAAATTGCGGTGGCCGCATCTGACTTTCCTTCCGTTGCTTTGAAACCAGGAAGTTCGAGACTGAGTCAGCCCATTGCACTCACGACGAGTCGCATGAGAGCTCGACGTGTCAAACAGGTAACATAGCAAGCCAAGCTCTAGATCACATCAGCGTTACGGCGCTCCTTTAACATTCCAGAAGGAGCAGCCTTGGAGCGGCCTCTATATTTGAAATCTGAAAACCCCATATCCGGCACCTCCCCCTCCTTTGCCTTTGCGCACTTTCTTGTACTTGCGTGATCCTCGGACCGTCTTGTCATGCAGAGGTGCCAGCGGTACACTGGGCCGTCTCTCCCGCATCCTCCTAACTCATCCATTGTACCCCTGAGGCCATGTGTTCATCAACACTGCATCTCCTGAGACCAGTGTGGAGTGTACCGCGGACAAGTTGAGTGTGGCCACCACTGTGCAAGCTCTTCTCTCGGTGATCAAAGTTGTTACGCGAGCTTACTATTTTCTCCCATCATTCAGACCTAGAGACTCCCACCCCACGCTTGTCATCATACTCGCACGGTCTTCCTATTTTTTTTTGTAATTACTCCAAAATGCATCCGATTGTATTTCTATTGATAGAGAATCGAAGGCAGTAGGCCTCATCAAACCATGGAGTCTATGCATGACCAATGTGTGACTCTGTCAAATGACACGAATTAGCTCTGAGACGCGAGATCTCATAACTTCCTGAGCATAAGAACAGAATCGCGTCTTAGAAGTTAGCAAGATGAATGTGGAGACAACTGGATAGTCCCTGGGTTTTTACGATGACAGTCAGATGGTTCTACAGCATACTGCCTACCATGTGACTAGCCCATAAGTAGAATTGATTCAGAAAGATATACCATAGTGTATTTACACGACCCAACTCCCAACGTATGCAGGGCATTAGGCAGTGTCAGATGCCGGATTATAACCAAGGAGACAGACAGCCTGTCCGTTGCTGTCAGACTCAGCGGTGCCGAGGACTTCTCTCCGCTTCTAGTAGTCCAGCGTCGAATTTACAGTGTATTCTTACATTTCCCCACATACGCAAAATATTTATGACTTCAGACATCCACGATTATATAATCTTATGATGACCTTGGAGCGGCGTCCACCCGCGTGTGTCTCGCGTGGTTCTTGTGTGCCAGTATAACATAGCCACATCGACATCGGACCGTATGGACCATACGATGCTAATACTTACATATGCTATTTTTACCAATAAAAACACCACGCTATACATACGCACTGCACTAAGTATCGCCCTAACTGCATAAAATCTCACGCCCCTTTCTTTCCTCTTGTTATCTAATCCCTACTGGAGATATGGCAGACACAAAGGTTTGGTTTAGTGGGTGAAAGCGAGTTCATTGGACCCGCCAAGAGTACTGAATACTGATATCTAGTTACTGGCGCATCGTCGGGGTTCGGGAGATCAATGACTGAACTATTGCTCAACAAGGGCGACAATGTCATAGCGACACTTCGCAATCCTGATGCTTTATCAGATTTATCAGCACAATTCTCATCGTCCCAGCTCTTAGTCATTCAGCTTGACGTGACGAACAGCGCGGGAGTATCAGCTGCGTTTGCAAAAGCAAAAGAAGCTTTTGGAAGGATCGATGTTGTGTTTAATAATGCAGGTCAAAGTGTAATGGGAGAGCTTGAGTCCGCGAGCGAGGAAGAGGCCCGTCTGATGTTCGAAGTGAATTTCTGGGGTGCTATGCATGTGAGCAAGGAAGCGGTGAAGTTCTTCCGAGAAGTGAACAAGCCAATTGGTGGGAGACTGCTACAAGTCTCGTCAAGGTTGGGATTGGTAGGCGGCGCTGCGGCTGCCTTCTACAGTGCATCGTGAGTATTCTGTATAATGCGATATACTGTATTCAAGTCATAGCATTGCGACAGAAAATTTGGCAGGTGTAATCAATTTTTGACATTGGAGATGCTTACCGCATTATCTAGCACTGGAAGGCCTAAGCGAGTCTTTGGCAAAAGAACTTGATCCCGCATGGAATATAAAGGTAACTTTAAAATGCTTGATGTCTAAGGACTTAGTATCAACTTTCTGTTTCCCCAAGGTCACAATAATCGAGCCAGGTCCATTCCGTACCAAGATATTCAAGGATAACCTACGCCTAGCTCCCCAGCACCCTGCGTACGACAATCCCAGCTTGCCCGGTTCCCAGTATCGACAATTCGTCGCGTTGGGCAATATCGATGGAGATGCAGACAAGGCAGTGGTAGCCATTGAGAAGTTGACCCACCTCGATGATGTTCCTATGCGCCTGCCACTGCACAGAAGGGTCGTTGTTGGAGCAAGGGAAAAAATCAAGAGCCTGACTGAGGAAGTGGATAAGTTTGAAAGTTGGTCTGAAGATCTTTACCATTAAAATGCATGCATTGTAGTAAGCTACTTTTTCGAATGTGATCCGTACGCATTTATGCGACAATTTTCCTCTATGCAGAGACTGCAACCAGGCCTCTTCCTAGTATGAGTATAAGCACTTTTAGTAAGTCATCAGTCTTCGAAACCAGACGTTCAAGGGTTCTGAGGCAGATAAAACACCAGTCGGTGCGTCCGCGTGCAGACCAGATGCGGAGTCCAGACTGTCGGAAAATCCTATTTTTGGTTGGAATGTCCCACAATGGCTTAAAAGGGCTCGATTTACCGGCGGCATTGCCACTCGCTTGGAAGCAGACCCGAAAATTGTGGAACATCAGTAAATTACCACGCTCTGTACAGGTCTGTCCAGATCTGTACAGCACGCCAAGTGGACAGCTTGGTCCTTACTAGCCAGTTCATCACAGTAGGATGTTCTCTGTCAATCTCTGTACAGATGCTCACAGATAGTGCTGCCGCGGTCCGGTCCAGAACCACGGTTCGAACCGGGCTTTTGGTCCGGTTCTCTGTGGTTTGGTCCATGGTTCCCTCACCAGCCAGAACCGGACCGGAAAGCGGTTCTGGGTTCTGGACCTTCACTAGTGGTCCGGTTCTGGTTCGACTTTCCCGAACCTTCCCGAACCGTTCCTTGACCTTCGAATTCCCTCGACTTCGACACCAACCATGACGACGTCGGTGTCCATGTCGACATCAAAACACCGTCTTCAAGATTTGCATTATTTGTTAATCAGGCTACTGTTAGCCTTTTTGAAGGTAAGTACTAATCAATTTATTCTCAAGACTCTGACATATGTTTACCTATATCACAGATATCTACTTGTTCTAGTCTATATGCTTCCTGGATAGTCATGATCCTCCACCGGTTCTCAACTCTAACAGATCTCCTTGGATATTGTCGCTCTGTGGTGTTAGGCTATGTGCCATGCATAAAACGGGGTGCCGACCAAAAAACTGTGAGTTTTTGCCTGACGATGTCTGAAGACTGCTGTGCTCTGAACGAAGGTTGCAAACGGGAGGGCTCGTCTTGAGGCAGTGGTGAGTACTATTCAAACTTAAGTACCCTACCGGTCTCTAACTCCAGATGTATTCTTAGTTTGACAAATATTATCAAGCGCCTCCAGCCCCAGGACCACATCCCAAGGAGCCAGAGGCCACGTCATCAACAATGAAAGCTTCGATTTGTTATGGTGCTTCCTGGATGCGCGACGCTATCATGGAATGTCAAGCTACAGACCATCGCACGCGTGATCCTCATCAAGAGCTCTCTGCATACCTTACTTCACCATTGGAGGAGACTGATGATGTTGTGGCATGGTGGGGTGTAAGTCAGCCCTCAAATTCATTGTTCCCCGCTTACATTCTTGATTAGTTACATTCGCTGCAGTACCCAACACTAGCTCGTGTTGCGCGTGATTACCTGCCCATTCAAGGCAGTTCCGTTCCCTCTGAACACGCTTTCTCCAGCGCAGGCATCACATCAACTCTGCGCCGCAATGCACTCGCATCATCCACTTTCTCCGCGCTACAATTGATGAAGGCAGCCTATAAGAATGGACATGTGTCAGCAGCAGTAGAGGCAGAAGGGTATGCAGTTGGTATGCAGTTAGACTAGCTACCCAATGTCATGTAGATGTCTTGTGAATGTTTTTTCCGTTGCTTGAAAAATTTTTGGTTCGGTTCGTGTTCGGACCAGACAAGAACCGGACCGGACCATTGAGAACCGTTCTCAATGGTCTGGTTCTGGGTTCGACAATTTTAAAGAACCGAACCATGGTTCGGTTCTTGGTTCTCGTCAAGGACCCTCTGAACCGGACCGAACCGGACCACAGCAGCACTACTCACAGACCCACCCAGTAGGTACCAAATAGGTCTTTTAAATAGTATTATTTTCTGTCACATCTGTACAACCCTCTGTCCATGTTTGTGCAGGTACTCACAGACTGCTTAGAGGTGTTCACAATTCAGCTTATTCATATTGGGTACAATACTAGTGCAAAAAATCACGATATAATTGAATCAGCGGAAACACAAAACTAGTAGTAGTAGTAAATGGTAAACGAGAACAAAAGAGAGTGAAAACATGATGTGACGGGTTAATTCTGCGAAAAACGGTACCGGGAGCCTCAATCAAGCTGCACCTGTAGGTTATGGTGCTTTGATGTGTTGATGCCGTCGTGTTTGGATGCCTCCACCCTTGAGAAATTCATCAGCACTAAACGATACACAAAAAAAGCCCTAACCATCCGACTTGAGCCCATTCATGAAGCTGATGCATCAGCTTTGGACCGTGATAAGGATTGTTCTTGATGTTTTCGAGTAGACCAAGCATTGCCATATAAACAGTCTCGTACTCCTTGGCGGTAAACTTCGGATAGAGCTTGCCATTGCCGTGTTTCGCGAGGCCTTGCAGGACGCAGTGGAACTAGAAAAATGTCAGAAAATTTGTGGCAGCACATCATTATAAAGAAAGTACCGCTGTACAAATGAGAGCCAAACACTTCAATGGTACCTGTTTCCGAAAAATATCTGGTCGCCTACGAGCAATGCGATAAGTTCTGGTATACATGAAGAGAATGATAGCTTCAAAAAATGCGGGGTGAGCGAAGTTCCTTGTTATCCCTAAATTGTCCAGTCCATAGCGCAAAAACTTGCCATCGTCCAGCAAATCTGCAGTGGCAGCTTCAACCCAAGCTGCGTGTTCTTGAACGGGAATATCAGCTGGTGGGACAAGGCCATATGCAGAAGGTGTGATAGCAATGACGATTTTTTTGAGCTCAGAACGCCAAGTTGCCAGGTCATCATACAACTAGAAAATCAATAAGATATGAGGCATACAACAATATATATAGCGCACCAGCCTCACCATGTCTGGTTTGTGTTTGGGCCACACACCTGTTGGATGCCTCGAGTCAATCGACTATCTCGACGGAAACAGGGACTTACCAGCGTCAACTTGGTGGCCGGTTTTGAGCCATTGCACGAGGGATGCTGAAAGACATTCAGTGATTGAGACCGGCATGTCAACAACAAGGCTTGGAAATGGATTTTCTAATGCTTGCTGGGTGCGACACTCCCCCTTCACATCTTCAAGAAAACTCTTCCAGCGCGAACTATACCATCCCAGTTGAGAAGCTTTGGGCCCTTCATCATCGGATGTGTTTTCCGCATTCAATTTCAATTTCAATTTCCGATTCCGTTTTGCCTTTGGTTTAGCCTTTGGTTAGGGACATCTACCTCAGCAGAGCGGAGAAGTTCTAGAAGGGCGGGGTCAGGAAGGCGGGGATAGCCGTTTCTCTTGTGGTGAGCTCTCAAGACATCGTCCGGCTTAAATGAGAAATTAGTATACTCCAGCAAAATATGAAGTTCATACCTGGGGAGCACTCTCTTGATCTGTCGCCACACTACTCTCACTTAAATCACCATCAACCGCCAAAACTCTCTCAGCCACTTGGTCATCTTCGTCGTGTGAGTGCTGGAATTCGAAATCGGTTGGCAGTGCAGTCGCCACTTGAGATTGGGACGGTAGTTCTTCCCTTGAAAAACCTGTTGTTCATCAGTGCAACATAATTTAAAAGAGGGAAGGTCTTGCCAGGATGAGCGCTATGATGCCCACGAACTTCTCCCCAACTGATCTGCTCATCTTCACCACCTTCATCTGAACTAGATGAATTCCCATCCTTCGACATGCTTGACTCTTCAGAATCTGGATTTGGTGGTGCACTCAACCGGAGGGCAGGATCCAAATTATCATAGAAGTTGGTGTTTGATAGCGTTGCAGTAGTTGAAGTTGTCTTGGAAGGTACTGGATCTTTGGTGCGAGGAGCAGTGATCGGATGGTGAGTTTCAGAAACACGAGCTTGAGATTGGGACAAGTTAGAGGTACCAATGGGAGTCTGACTTTGGGAGGTGTCGGGAGTAGACAGTGCATGGAGCCTCCTAGCATTGGCCATGATGGCATTATTTAATGCATTAATATTTGGTTCCGTGCTGGGGGGGACGATGGAAGCGATTGGGGGCAAAAATCCATATCGGCCGCCAGCTTCACATGGTGCAAAAGCTGGTTGACTGTTAAATGACTCAGAGCTCGGGGCAAGAGAGATGGGAGTCTGCACAAGGATTAGTAGATATATATTTGCGGAATAGAAATTCACCTTGTTCCTTGAGCATGATTTTGAGGTCACTACATCTAATGTCTCCAAGGGGCTATATGGCGGAGGAGGCTGCTTCTTCTGAATGCCTGGTTAGTATTGTACCCTACAAACAGGATAAAATTACCTTGGAATGGCTTCCGCGACCCTTTCGAGGCAGTTCTGGAGCAAGAGGATTTGCAGGAACGTTTGGATCAAGGGATGTATTACCCTTGGCTTGGTTGGTCCGTGTTGGGGCATGCAAGATGGCGCCAATTTTCTCCAGCTAAGTGTCTCTACCTCCCTTCCCAGCACCTGGATGTCCCGACCATAGAGGGTGTTGCGACTCATCCACTTGATTGGTGGTTGACCCAGCCTGAGCACGCGCTCTCTTCACCACACCTTCTTGCCCTTCAGGTGCTTTGAGGTCGGAATCCATAGCTTTCCACTTCGTTTTCCTTTTCTTGGGGCTACCTGGCATGAGTAAAGAAGGGGGAGAGATGAACCACGACGCCAACAATTTACAGATACTTACTTTTAAATCTAGCTCCCATCGCACCTTGAAAAGCGCTTAAAGATAAAACATCATACACAAGCGCACCAAATGTAATACAGCGCAGCACAGACCATGAATGGGGTTGATGAGATGTAGCTGAGTCCACAAGTCCGCTTCGAAGTCGAGTCAAAATGCAGTAGGCTGAGAGAAAACACGTAAAAAACCTCCTTGCGTCGAACTCATGAATATATAGCCGAGTATGTTTGAATGTGGGTGGGAATATCTCCAGAACAAAAGTTCAATTGTACACGTAAAAGGGGTATTGACTAGTACTAAGCAAGGCACTTAACTTGAAGAATGATTACTTATGTAGTTCTCTTCCACTTGGGCTGGGGTGCAACTTCCATCGTCCAACCCATCTGATCTATTGTCGCATGACGTTCATTTATTTGTGAATCCGTATCATTACCCTCCAATTCATTCACGTTTCTCTTTTGCGGGAGCACTGCAATGACTCTCCTTGCAAACAGAAGTTCAGGGGAAGGCTCGTTCTTTGGAAGCATGTCGAGGTGCGTTTCCAACAGATCAATGACCTCCTGGAAAGTTACTGTGCTCGATGGTCCTTTGTTCCTGATCAACTCGTACCAATCTTTTGCAAGTGGGAGTAGACTGGTGAAGTAGGAGTGGAATTGTCATTTGAGCTTTTGCGCATTTGGGTGGAAAAAAAACAAAGTCTTCTCATTGGTGGTGTCTCGGAGCGTGTTGGTAGACCATTGGTGCGGTAGCCACTCTTGACTCCTATCAGCTGAAAGGTCACGTCTAACTCTGAGGGGACCCCTGAATTCGATGCAGATGCACATGAAGACATAGAAAAGGGATTCGAGATTGTCATGGTAGTGGTGTAGTATGAGAGGGGGGGGGCGTTGCAGAGGACTGCATTGCGAGCTTTGCCTTCCAGCTGCGAAGAGATGTCACCTGGTCACCAACAGCCTCTGAGAGCTGCCATAGAAGAGAACAAGACATGAACGGCAATGTACCCTGATGATTGCTGTGAGTATATTCATCCTTTCAGCAATAGAGTGGTACTGACCGTCCCACCGATAGCATATTTTTGACCTGCAACAATATGCATGGCGAATTCCCAATCGATCAAGGTTCCCTGACCCCCATTGCCATCATCCCAGATCATAGTGTTGTTGAGACTACAGTCATGGTGAAGAATTCCCCGCTCCTCAACCGCTGTCTGTTGAACTGAGAAATATGTCAGTGTAATGTAGAAGATGAACCAGA